GAGAGAGAGAGAAAGAAAGAGAGAGAGAGAGAGAGAGAGAGAGAGAGAGTGAAAAAGAAAGAATACACGCGAATAACCCTCCCAATGTCGTAAGTAAGCTCTATATCGATATCGATTACGACTACTATCGATAGTCGGAGTCGATAGCGCGCGTTCAAGAGAGGATACTTACAATTATACGAAGTAACGAATGATATTTAATATTATTATTGTATGTACGCATATATATTTTATATACAAACGCATATATATTGAATAGAAATATATATATATACACGCATAGAGATATTCGTGTGTACAAAGTGTTCCTTAGAACGGAAGAATAATTATATATGAATAATCTTGTCTCTGTATGGCAACACATATACAGTCGTACGTAATTATATATGTCCATATCGAGAGAAATGATGCTGTTGCACAGATACAATCGAGATATGATCGTAAGATATGATCAAAGTAAGTTGTGTTTCTAGTGACTCATGATGTTGACGTTTAGTGCAGATATTTAAGAAAACTTTTTCTTCTTTTCCTCATTCAACAGCTTTTCTACCGCGCGGGCATATATAATTATAATCATATATGTATATGAGACCATATATAGAAGCAACGCTCCTGATCGTATATGTGAGTCATATATAGTTATATAATTTATATATATATATATATATATATATATATATATATCATATATATATAATTTTTTAGGCAATTAAATATGATTACATATGATTGCATATCATTTCTTCCCAGTGCGACTGCGTTTTACAGTCGCACAGTGTTGCAACGTAAATATTTCTCGGCGGATTCTTTGGAGCGGATAAAGAGATACGTAAGATTTTATTATGACTCACCTTCAATTACTTCGGAGATAACCCGTTAGATACAATTGAAAGAAGTCCCTCCGTGGACAAGAATAGCGCGTTTTTGGCGAACACTTTGTAAACACGTGTATACTATATATATATATATATATATATATATATATATATATATATATATATATATATATATATATATATTCACGCGCAGAGAAAACGATCGCATATATAAGTATACACGCCGTTAACATTTAACAAATACTTAATTACATGACGATTAAACGTTAGAGATTCGTCGGAGAACAGATAATTACGTGCCTAACGATACATACCTCAATTTTTCGTGGGTAGTTACCCTCCCCACAGTGCGTTTGCACCGAGATAGATAGAGAGAGAAAGAGAAAAAGAGAAAGTATAATTATAATATATAATAATATAAATGTAGACGTCGCGGCACGGTTGTGAGATTTGTCGTCTCGGATCTGCTTCGAATGTATTCGCACGGAGGAAAGAAAACAAACCACGTACGGCAATGCCAAAGAATTGCGAACGAGCATAGAGCGTAATGTTTGCATCCTGACTTTGTAATGGTTGTTATATATCGTATCGATAACTGCAAGTCGTACGTACGTCGCTTTTGCTGGGCAAAGCTATTGTAGTACGTATGAGAGAAATCAAGATAGAGATAAAGAGAGATAGATAGAGAGAGATAGATAAGGAGAGAAAAAGAGAGATAGGAAAACAGTCAAGCCGATTAAAATATAATTATTTTATGACGAAATCAAATTAATTTCCATTTATTCTCGATACCGCCGATGTATATGTAATATAATATAATAACGAAATAGAGAAAGGGAGAGAGAGAGAGAGAGAGAGAGAGAGAGAAAAAAAAGAGAGTGATATCGATGATTTCATTATTATGTTACACAGAGTGGTCTAATCAGAAAGAGTTTTAAGTAGATGGATTTAATAAAAGAGCACATATGAAAAAAATATAGACCAGAAATATCTAATCAATACATGTGAAGATTGGGGATTTTGGTTTTTTGTATTTTTTCGCTTATCAATTAAAAAAGACTTGTTATTTACAAAATAATAAAAATCTCGTACTTGCACGCGTGAAAAAACTACATTTTCTTGTTCCTACAATGCGAATGCGCTGTGTTTTCTAACGTTTTCTCACTTTTCCTTCTTCAATTGATTAATCTCCGACCCGGAGATTGAGATTCCAATGTAGATTCAGTATAAATAGCCTCTAATTTTAGAAATAATCCGATTAACAGGCGAGATTCTCTCCTCGAGCTTTTCTTCAGGACCACTCTGTGTCGCAATGTACTAATGGGATAATAATAACCGATGAGAGATCGGCAGATTCGTCGGCAAACGCACTTTGGGCTACGCTTAAGTCATCGTTCTCGTGCAAATCTATGGGAGTTCGGCCGTGAGCGGAAAGTGCCGTAACATTAAGTGTGACGAACGAAGACACGCTTTTGCACAAATCTGCGGGCTAAGCACGCCTTTCTCCTGACTTCGGAGATCCTTTTCCCAAGCGCCGTGCAATACAGAGAGCGTTCAAGCAGATTTATAGATATATACATCTGTGAATGCAATTCGCATTTTTCGAATGCCTCTCCGCAAAATAGATCTTTGCCCGCTTGAATCCTGTTGTGATTGTATTAGGTTATTGCAAGAGATATTTCTGTCAAATCAAGTAGAAGACAAAGTTATGCAATTTCGGAGGATTAACAATTGGCACAAGTAAAGTGGACAATATCAAGTCAGTATTTGTTTTTAGAAATCTAAAGAGAATTTCTTTGTCTTTCTTTTAACATCCAAACCTCCTGTAGGATTTTTCTTCCTGTCAGAAAAATCTTTTGCACCGACCTAATGCGTCGTCCTGAAAGAGGACCTTCTAATTTGCGAGTAGTTTGATATCGGCTTCGCAAAAACATTACAGAGCGACCTCCGCGATTCCGAATGCCCGAATTTTTGTTATTCGAAACGAATTACTACTGCCAGTGCTAAGATCCCGATTATCGTAGCTTCTAGTATCTAAGGATTCGTCTCACGTTCTTCATTTTCTTACTTTATCAGCGCGAGCCACATATCGAGAAATATTCTTGTTTCTTTCTCTTAGGGAATAAGTCGCGGCTTTTTTTGGCAGAGCAGAATATCAAGTTGCGAAACAGCAGTAAAATACGTGAATAGCGTGCCAGATCTACACGTCGACTCGCGAGGATTCGGCGTTGCGTCTTCTCTATTATATATCGTTACTCAGTACCTGGCTATGGTTTTCCATGCAACCATGTGGCCGTTTTTCCCGAATTTCTCTCACTAACGACGCCACTGCGAGCGAAACAGAACGGAAAAATGGCTGGCGAAATTTTATCGTTGTATAACCCGAGGAAAATATTTTATTCTTTAAATAAAAATGCCTTGGATACTAATAATACATGATCCGCGCTCTCAGGGATCCTCCCTCTTATACTGCTACTTTGATTAAAATACAGCTCTAAAGCAGGGATCGCTTTCTCTTACATGGAAAAATGAATAGAGAAGTAATTGAGAAGATGCTATTGTCATTGTAATATTTAACAGTAGTCGTTAAAAAGTTTTTCCGTTTAATGGAAAATATAGCGATTCCTCTCAGACTTGACATTTCTTACTTTCTTTGAAGGGAGGGCGTTCTGTGCAAGAAAAGATGAGCATATTTTAAGATAACTATTTTATTATAAAATTCATTAATAATATACACACATCTCTCATCTATCTCATTCACAAAATCAATTCAGTACACATATTCATGTTATAAATAAGAGTCGGGACGTACAATAACGGAAGTATCTTTATGGAACCTTAAAGATAGCCTTGGGATGTAATTCTTATGAACCTCTGAAAAAACACAAAACAGATATATTTAAAGGAAAATCTCCAAAGAGACAAGGAAAGAATAGCTAAACGATCAGTAGGTTCAGAAAGAAGGATCAAATATACATAGATACAACACTAACAGATAATCAAATATGATTTATCTTAATCTTGTGGATACTCACACAATGATGTTATTGATAGGGATGTGAATTAGCTTAACAAAGAATCCTATGAAACCCATCACACAGAAACCAACGACTGTGGCAATAGCAATCTTTTGGAATTCTGGAACACGACACAAGTTATTATTATATTTTGCTTCAAGCTTTATCTGTAGATTCTTTATCCTCCATTTTCCATTTTCATCCACTAAACACCAATTAATTGTAAAATATTATTGCCTCAATGTTACAATTTTCCATTTGACGATGTAACTGTTACGTAAAACATATGTTATATTGTATTTACATTATTGAGTAGGAAATTATAACATTGATTTCCCACTCAACTAATGTTTTAATTTGATATTACACAACACTGATATAAGGCTATTGTCGGTTGGTGTTTATCGAACAATTAAAAGGTATCGTTTGACCACAAAACTAAAGAGAAAACAGTTACCTTTGCGATCTGGTTTCGTGCATCTTTTGATGAGTCTGATGCTGTCTTTGGCGAATTGGCGGCCAGGCTCAGTCAGCTTTTTAACTTGATCCATGTTGTTTGAAAATCTACAAAGAAAATGACTCTTCTTAAAGACAGATAAAATCTCTTAAAAGTTCTTGGTCGACATAGTTAAAACATTGACGTTCTAAATTGGAAATTAAATCAATAATTATTCAAATATTTTTTATCATTTATGTAATTTAAGCTCGATATGCTTGAACGTAAACATGGACATGTGTCAGGTAGCCTTAACAATCTCACGATGAAACTCGTCATTCAAGCAATTTTTCCGGAGCTAACATTGTAACGCCGTGCTCGGCAAACGACACGAGAATAGAGCGAGGGAGAAATTTGTCTCTGAAATTTGTCTTTTGACTGAAATTTTTCACTGACAGTGTTTCGACGAACATATGACAGCGCACATGGTGTGGAAAAGCGACCGATCGCGTCCTGTCTCAAGGCGCTTCCGTGTGAGGGTTAGATCCATATTTATCAGAAATCGAGGGTTCACGTGTTACAGAAGTGCGAGAGACTAATGACGAGCTCGCAAGCACAGAACGTGTCTGTCTCTTCAAAGTGCGGACTGTCGCGCACAAACGCGAGAGGAGACGTATCCTCGTAACTCGACGGAGTAAATAAGGTCTGGGTCACAGAAGCTCGGAGATATATTCACCAGAATTGCACAGACACGGGATACTTCGCGAACGAGCGAGAATTGGCCTCACTTCGCTCCGCGAAGGCGATCAAGCGAGAAACACGAAATACTCACACTCCACGTTGGATCGAGCTCGTCGCACGAGTGTCGTTCGACGGCTGTCGCTGATGATACCGAAGCGATGGAACCCGATCTGCTGCTACGTGGACGGTGCGCTGTAAGGACGTCACTTCCTCGCGACGACGTCACTGCCACACGAAGGCGCATGCGCGCGCTCGCTGCGACGCGGAAACAGTCAAACAGCCGCGACATCGATCTCGCCGCGAACGTGTTTTTGGCCTAAGATTTTAGAAGACAACACTCTGTGGAGTAATTCGCAGTTCGCAATTAGATTTGGGTCTATGAGAAAATGCTTGGGAGATCGGGGTTATATAGACTGCGCTCGGAAACTTCAGTAAAATATTACAATTGTTATTAAACAGATAAAATTATACGTAAGTTGTAGGTCTATTTTGAAATTCTTTAACGTATCGTAATTTTGACGCATATGGATGTTTAAAGAGACGTCTACATTGGAAGTAAATAGCAAGAAGTAGGAAGTAAGAGTAAGAAATTGACCAACCACAGTCGAATGTGAGAAGAATAATTAACTATGATTGATCAATTTCTTATTCTTACTTCCTACTTCTTACTGTTTACTTCCAATGTAGACGTCCCTTAATGGAGGTCTTATGGACGTTACGTGGATACCCATTGGAGGTTTTGAATCTCCATTATTGACGTCCAATGGACGTCCATTGGATGTTTTTGTTCCGTGTGGGCATGTTGTACTATATAATGAAATTTGTATATAATTGCAATGAAAAAAGGGATTTAACTATATTAACGAAAATTTAATTCAATATGTCAATACGCTCAACTAAATACTAAATACAATGAACTAATACTAATAATTATAAATACTAATTGTTATAAAGAAAAAAAAAATACTGGCTCTGATGTGTCAGGTGTACATTTAATTTAATTCTAGTAGGAGTTAAAAATTTACTCATAAGCAGGTCTCCTCAAGTATCTTCTTGGTAGAAAGATCCTTTCCTTTCTTCTTCTTCCGGACAACCAGTCTTCGGACAAGGGGAAGGTAGCATCCGTGGACCCAACGTTCTCTTACGAGAACACCCCAAGTCCCCACTCCGGCATTCGCCCAATGCCCCACGAGAAAACCGTGAGTGGGGCGGTATTTTTTGTTGTTCCAAATAAACCTTTTAAGATAATTGCTGTCACTCTAGAACAGACAAGAAAAAGAAACAAAAGCGCATATTTATTCTCGGAAAGACACATAGGGTCGGTGCTCCATTTGTGGCCACTTCAAAGAATCTTTCGAATTATTTAGTCTATGATTCATGTTCGCGTTACGTAAGTGGCAATATTTTGTTTTTACAGCATTTCTATTGGTCATGCTACTTGCTAACGAATATGTAATTTTCTTTCTTCTTTAACTAAATATTTATAACCGAAGGTAAATGAACTGCTGCATTTTTTTGTGCAAAACGTTAAGGATACGAGATAAGATAAACGTTAGAATTATTATATAAAAATATGATTGTGAATAAATGTTTTTATTATCGGCTTACGGAAAGTCTAAAAGTTAATCTCAATATGCATAACCACGTATTTGATTCCTATTAAGCAAAAAATAATAGGTGTCGAAAACTAGATCATGTATTAATATGATGCTCTATCTTTGGCCATAGGGTGGCCAGAACTGGTTGTTGCGTTGTTCCAGTTGTGGCCGACAAAAATAACGAATGTGTTTTGTGTAAAATTAAAAAATTTGTGGCACTACAATATCCATGCTCTGGTTTTTACTGGCCCTCACTATTGTGTTTTAAAAAATTATAAAAGTATAGTAAAGCTATTTGTCTGGAAACGAACTTTATATATATATACATAATTACACATTGTATATACTTATTTTTATGTTTCTTTAGATGGATAATAAAAAAAAATTTTAAAAAGAAAACTTCTAAATAGTTCTAAAAAAAGAAACGTTCTAAAAAGAAAACTTCAGAAATAAGTAATCATAAAAACTTTTTAAAGGAAATCAGTGTCACGATAGCAATAGTTCTACATCGTTTTCATCCCTGAGTGAGGAATGCTCTATTTCATTTTTGCATGTACTTTCACTATACAAAAGCATTTTTAATTCGGTCAAGTCAATACGCATGTAGAAATAACTAATCTTTGCAGAAAGATTTGGTGTCATGATAGTAACCGTTCCTTATCGTTTTCCTCTGATATTGAGGAACGCTTTGCTTCATTTTCGCACGTACTTTCACCATACAAAAGGATTTTTAACTCGACGCATGTAGAAATAAGTAATCTTTGCAGAAGAATTCGGTAATTTTGTTATGATAGCATTTTCTTATCATTTTCCTCTTATATTGAGGAACGCTTTATTTTTGCACGTACTTTCACCATGTCAAAGGGTTTTTGATTTAGTACAATCAGCACGACGAAAGTTTTGCAAGGGTGTCGATATCACATCAACGAGATTTTCCTACAAATATTGACTTTGTATTGACTTGACCGAATTAAAATGTTTTTGTATGGTGAAAGAACATGCAAAAATAAAGTAGATCATTCCTCATTCAGAAATGAAAACGATGTGGAACTTTTGCCATCGTGACACTGATTTCCTTTTGCAAAAATTACAGTGCACTTACTGCTGCAATTTATAAGATAAAATAATCTTCCTTAACACAGCAGGTTAGTAACCTGGACAATAGGACAAAACGGGGTGAAAGAGAAACGGAATAAGTTTTTCAGTTAACTTATTCCGTTTCTCTTTCACCCCGTTTTGTCCTATTGTCCAGGTTTACTAACCTGCTGTGTTAAGGAATTTCACCCTTTAAGTAGAAATAGGGGGTGAATAGTAGTGAAGACAGCAGACAGAGAAAAGATAAAATTACGTGCGAAAATATGGTGAAACATTGCTCAGTGCATAACTAAAATAATATCTAAAATTTCCATTGCAAATTATATAGAAAGCTCATATATTAGATATTCTTCAAAACAATATTCGTAAACTGCATTTATGCGTAGAACATACTTCTCTAAAAAGCTCTGTCTTTGATTCGCCCAGTACAGCGGTTTGAAGAATTCATCAGAAAAGCAGCGAAAGCTTATTTCCAAGAGAATGCGAATATCGGCAGCGTGACATTCACATTTACGTAACGTCTATGTGTAAGAAAATTGAAATGACAATGTAGCACACACACTTGCATTCATAAATCTATATGTAGAAATGATGTATATATGAAAAAAAGAAAATAGCGGCATTATGCCAGCGCCTATTTGACGATCGTCTTTACTTGATAAATATCTATATGTATCTATATATACATGAAATCGGTAATATACATGAAGTCAATAGATAATGATAACGTTTTCTACTTTTTGACGATCGCCTCTACGTTATCGACGCTTAGCGAGTTCGTCATCCACTTCAGCATTCCCTTGAGGGGAGGGTCAGATTGCCTGAAAATCGTGCTTGTTTTTTCACAATTTTCTATGACAAACTAAATAAATATGCGAAATTGTTATTTTGACGTGTATTTATACAACATATAAAGAGAAAAAAAGATAATTTTGATGATCAAATACTCAATATAAGTGTATTGTACATGCAGTTAAAATATATTTCGTTTTTCTTTTTAAGGTCATCATTTTGCAGTAATATCTTGACTCTCGGTGGTTCAATTAAGCTGAATGTTAGATAAAAAATTTCTGTGAACTTGTCGTTATTGTGTGAACCACTGACAAACTCGTGAAAATATTTAATTTTTTTACTATAAAAAAACTGAAACTTTAATATTTTATTAAGATATTTGCAATTTTGTTAACTTTTACTCAATTTTTTGTTTACTCAATTTCTATTATAGTGGTAAAGCATGTCCATACAACACAAATCTTCAAAAGACATTCTAAAGAGTCTTCACTTTGAGTCAAATTTTCGGAACAGCAGACAGAGGAAACTGTAAACAATAGATCTATTTTTTTTATCAATAAACTAATGTACGCTAACGAAACTTAAAAAAAAACAGGTTTTACTACAGTTTAGACTTGACGGAAAAAAAAGGAGAAAAGATTAATGGCAAGCTAGTACAGCCAGTTCAGCAATAGAAGATAAATCTAACAGCGAATAAAAGTATTATCTTCGCTTGTGCAGCGGCTGCAGGATTAGAATGAATAAAAACAACTTTAGATAGTTTATATCCAAACAGTAGCGATAATAAAGATCAGATAAAATGATTGAAGAAGTTAATATTATTGAAACTTGGATAAGAATTGAGAAAAAAGGGAAAATATGTTCATATATAATCATATATGGTCATATATAATGTTATATACATGGACAAAATTTATATATAATTATATCATTTTATATATATATGGCCATATATGGACAAATCTACATATGAACTTTTTTCCTGAGAAGTGAAAGAAAAGATCATACATGAATTTGTTCACGTATGGTCATATACAATTATGCATAATCATATATATCGACAACGAAAACAATACTATTATATAAATATATAATCGAAATAAAATGCTTATGCTTCCGGCAGCATATAATATCGACGTTTATTTTAATAAAACTATTTCTTTTCTTTTCCTTATTTAACATAATTTTTTCTATGTTAATTTAACTGCGTGTTAAAGCTACTTTGTTGATTAGGGTGCGCGTTAATCTAACTGATATTTTATTATTACTCATATTTAACCTTTTCGGTAATGTCGAGTATTCTTCGCTTAGTGTCACTCATTGTCCAAGAGTAACAAAGTTCGAGGATACTTGTTCTTGCACGGCGGTCACGGACATTCTTGCATAACGAATTGTGTTATGCAATTATTTTTTATATATGCAAACGTTTCTATATATTTTCTATATATTTAATATAATTTTACCTGAACCCAAAGACATAAACTTCAACAAAGTTTATTGAGAATAAATCCCAGACAGCACAAATGTTTAAAATACGTATTAGAGACATCTGAAGGACATTTAAAATAAGTAGAATATCTTTTAGTCATCTCTAAGACATATTTTGTAGATATTAATTGTTATTTGAAATTTGTTTTATTTGTTTCGATTTTTAGATATTAATTGTTTCTGAAACTTGTTTTACATGAAATATTTTTTTTCAAAATTATATCCATGTTTTTTTAGTTAGATTATGATATAGAAAGAAAACGTTCAATAATCTTGTTGAGTTTTGCGTATAAGAACACAAAACTCAGCAAGTTTTTCTTACGCAGTTCTGCATCTAAATGATTTATATACGTTAAGTATATGTACACTTTATAATATAGTATTATATGTATACTTTATATACAAGAATGTGTTTTAATTTTAATATAATCCAGACACATCATGTTTTTGAGTCTCGATGTTAAGTTTCTCTTTATTTTCTCACCTGGATATTTAAGCGATTATCCGTTATTGAAGTTTTATTTTAGTTTTACTGAATTTTACTCAATTTGAATCGACTTTTACTTGAACAGAAAAATAACGAATCAATTATTTGGCTATTTTAGTTGACTTCCTTTTTGTTCTTAATAGTAAGATAATAATATCTGCAATCACACGATACAACTAAGAACTCTAACTTTGAATTCAAACTTGAATATTTCACTTGAAATTTAAGTAATAAATATTAATATAGATCTTAGACTTCAGAGAAGGCATTATTTTTAACCAAAAATATTTTCTTGATAGTCTTCAAATATGCTCATTGCATATTTCATAGAAGCTTATTATCATATACTCAAAAAAAGATTTTATTTTTTTTCCCAAGAATACTATCAAACTTTATTGAAGAAATATTGGTTTGACTCTACACTGAGGGAAAAATTACCTTAAAATCAATAAATATTTCTTTGATGGGTGCCATTAATATATTTACTTAAATCTAAATTCTCTTCATTTAAATCAAATATTGTTTATCTGATTTAAGTAAACAATATTTGGCTTAAATAAAAAGAATTTAGATTTAAATAAATATATTAATGGCACTTATCAAAGAAATATTTGTTGATTTTTCCCTCAGTAGTAATCCGCACTGAACCAAACCGAATTTTTGTTTTAATTTAACATTCGTGACTGAAATTCTAAACTTACTATGAGTTTATTGTGACTCAGGATGTTGAACAAATTTGATTCTTATGATGAACTTATGATAGATTTGCGGAAGTATGAAATATTTATGATTTATTTAAGATTTTTAACATTTACTCGCATGGAGTATGTATTTTTCTGTATGTGTACCAGCATTACATATACGTGTGGCAGCGATCATTCTTCCTTCTATCTGCATAAAAAACCAAGATTGTTGTATACAGTTACATAAAAAGCAAGAACTATACATGAGCGATTGGCTGCCGCCGACTTTAGACGACGACCTGATTGAAGAAGATTTCAATTCACGTCCAAAGTGCATAATTACTCACTTTCGCATAAATTGTTCTCCAAGTGAGAAAAAGAGAAACTTTGGACTCAATAACAGGATACATCCTGTTGTTTCTTCGGGACGCATATAATTTGAATATTATATCGAAATCGATAAAATCGTTTGATTTCCCGGTAAAATGACGCGGATGTGCTGAAATATGTGCAAGATGTGGCTCTGACTCAGCTGTTCATAAAATCAATCGAAGTTGTCATTAATAAGAGTCACGTTTTTATTAGATAAGCACAACGCTTATAAATTGGGGGTTGCATGCGACGCTGCTAATAGTCGTGCGACAGTCGCGGTGACAACATGAATCGAATCGCTATTATGTTCGCACTTTTGTGCGCCTTGTCGTCCACCCTTGCCTTCAATTTTGAGGACTGCGGTGAGTACAGCAATAAAAGAAATATTTATTTTTTATTTTGCTTATTAATCGAAAAAAAGTTTACGATATTCAATTATTATTATATAAATTGAATTACTTCCTCAAATATAAATTGAATTGTCCAGTTAGAATTATGATTGGAGTCTCAAATCCAATGCAAGGAAGAGAAAATAGATGACAGTTGTATTTCCTGGTTGATTCAAGTAGATTTTTAATTCAATTTCTATTCGAATTTCATTTTAATTTGAAAAGTGATATTTTGAGGAAGGGGAAATAAGTGACTGTTGTATTTCTCTCAAATGGTTGATCTCAAACGAATTTTACTTAATAAATTTTTAGTTTAATTCTGATTCTCTATACAAATTTTATTTTAATTTGAAAGGTGACGTTTTGAATGTTTATTTTAATTCCTCATTGAGGATATAATTGAGAATATAATCACAATTATTTTCTCTTTTTTGAATTTTATTTAAAAAAGGTTTTAATTTTAAAATGAATTACAGTATATATAATTTATAATAATGTTAAGTGGTTCAAAATCAGGGAAATACTTTCACGGGAAACAAATTTTTGTTATAGAACATGCAATCACACAAAAAAGAAAAGCATTCTTGTTTTAAAAATATCTTTATTTTTGATACGAAATGAGATTACGTAACGTTAAATGAAGATAAGTTACTTGCATCAATATATTCATATGATTTAAAAAATGAACAGTAATACATTCTTATTATTTAAAAATTATTTTCATAAATGGGAAACCGAAAATACCTGCGATTGAGAACATGATATTAATTTTAAGTGTCGGAAGAAGATAGTATTAACATCAAAATAATTATATTGTACACTTCTTACGCGACTATTATAATATTCAAATAAAATATAACATTATTGGAATTCAAAATTTTAAAAGTCTTTTAACAAAATTATATATCATTGCTTATACATTATTCCTTTAGTTATATAATCGATTTTGCGAAAGCAGTGACAACATGACAGAATAAAAGAAGAAGAAAAAAAGAAGGGAAAATCGCAATGCAGGAAAATAAATCAATAGAACAGTATAAAAATAAAAATTCCAAGTATAATAGGATGTGTTCCGTTAAGAATCCTAGATAGTATAAATTACTAAAAGGTGTTTTAGAGACGTTCAAAAAACGTCTAATAAAAATAGAAATTGAACGTCTCTAATAGATTTTTTAGTAGACTATCTGGAATCTATGTGTACAAGACATTCATCAATCTATGAAATCGTTCGATACAGTTGAGCCTTTCATAGCATATTCTAAAAAGTTGGACATTGCCAGAAAAGTATTTGTGATTACAATTGCATGTTATAAACCGAAAATGAGTTTCCTAGTTAAAATAAAATAATTATAATCAAGGAACACATTTGCATAGCAAGTATTATTAATAATAAGTTAATAAGAGAATGATCTGTAATTTATAGAGAGATTAACATTTTTTTTTCACGGTATACATGAAAGCTAGAGTAGATTAAAGTATCAATCTTGATAATCTGCATTGGGAAAAAAGTGTTTGTTATTTGCCACCAGAATTACGTAGTGAAATAATTATAGCCAAGAAAATCATTTTATGTCATAGTAAGTGCCATTATAATAATAGTGACAGCAATTATTTTTGTTATTATTGACCGTTTTATTTTTATATTCTTATTTCATTTTATTATATTTCTTGTTTTCATTATTCGCCTTATTTTTATAATTCATTATTATTAATTGCTAATTTAATATTATTACTTTTTTGTTTTAACAAGAAAGAAAAATAGTTGACGTCAAAAACGATCATAATTCTAGCAATATTAATTATTTGCTTCTCTCTCAGTGTGAAAGAAACGAATGGTGGTAAACCATATGTAAACATATGTTATATTTTATTACTCATACAGTAAGCAGTTAATTTTAAACATGTCAAACAACTATTCATTGCATTAATTAGCTTTATTCTGTTGCAGGTTCGGAAATAGGCAAGTTCGGCGACATAACTATCTCGAGTTGCACTCCGTCGAGTAAAAAATGCATTGTGAATCGCGGTGACGAGGCACACATGTCTGTCAAATTTACACCAAGTTAGTTCACGCTCCGGCGTCGTTCTGTTTTCTGCAATTCAATTAAACGTTGTACTCGATAAAGAGCTATTTACGACTATTGTTTCCTTCCGCAGATAAGGACATCTCGAACTTGGAAGTGCGCATTTACACTATGCTGCAAAACGTGCCGGTACCATTTCCGCTGGAAAAGCCTAATATGTGCAAGGACAGTAACTCCGGAATCAAGTGTCCTCTGAAGAAAGATGAGGAAGTCGAGTACAAGACTACGCTCGTCGTCGACAAGGACGTTCCTGTGGTAACATCGCCTTTGTGATTTCGCGCCGATCTGTCGAAGTGCCTTTTAAATTTCCTCGAGTAAAATTTCATTCGAAGAGTAGAGTGACAATTAACTCGTCATTAGAAAGATTGGACTTAAGGGACCTCATGCATTCCATATCATTCTCTTTAAATCTTTGTAATATCTTCAGAATTCTTTTCTGTTGTTTTTTTCTGTTTTTTTATTATTAAATTTCACTATTCCACAGAATCATAAGAAATATATTATAGAGCTTGAAGAATTATAAAAATATAACAAAAAAGGAAAAACAAAATTTATTAAATTCCACTTTTCCAATGACGAGTTAAGTTATTTGAATTCGACAGACTTTTTACTTATACAGGATGTTGAAAAAAAGGGTCACATATTTTAATAGCAAGTAGTATTGATCAAAACAAGAAGAAAAGTTCTAATTAACATGGGTCCTAAGACTAATATCTTCTAAGATACAAGCTATTTTGTTATTTGAGCTCTTTGTCATTTTCTTATTAGTCGTGTCATCTTTAGAATGTAATGAACAAAGGAGTAGAGTGGGGTACAATGAGAATATCTTTTTTCTAGGTACCTTAAAAAATAAAAAATTAAGAAAGAGAGATAAAGAAACAATTTTTATTTTAATATGAAATGTAATCAT